TCTCTCTCTCTCTCTTTCTCTCTCTCTCTCTCCCTCTCTCTCTCCTCTTGGCCGCGCGCGGGCACAGATTGCCCAGGCATAAGTTAAAACTGCACCATCAATCTCCACACCGAACGGCACGTGGGAGAGAGAGAGAGGAAAGCTGCGGGGGGGGGGGATGAGCAGTGTGAGAATACTTTCAGTGACAAAAAAAACAAAAACATTTATTTTTGCACATAGAATCGACTAGCAAACGCGGGACGAAGGCGATGAAGAATTGGGTTTTTAACGTACAAAGGATCTGGAACCACCTTATAACAAATGATGTTCTTCGTACTACAAAGAGCGCCACTTTCTGAACAGACGTCTGCTCTTCGTATTACAACGCCGAGCTCTTTGTAATAAAAAGGATTTATTTGTATTACAAAGATTCAAAATCCTTTGTACGTTACGAAGACCAGTTCTTTGTAAGAAACTCACAGTGTAGGGAATCAGTCGTGGTGATAGAGAGACATAAATCTGCTTCTCACATTTTGGGTGCGATTTTCTTTCAGTCTGTCACTTTCACCAGGTTTGCGCGACTTCCTCAAGTTTGACACACGTCCTCAGGTTTGTCACTCCTGCCGTTTTTGTCACTGCTCGCGCACGCGGTGAGCAAAGAGTCCAGAGACTCCAAAAAAATGTTCGTTTCGATGCACACAGTTGAGTGAAAGCGCGCGGGTGGCACACGTTGCACAACACCTGCACGGCCGTGTACGCCTTCTTATGCCCATCAAAGAGGGCTGAGTCCTGGCGGATCTTTCCGCCCACGACGAGTGTTGTAGGCGATACGGGAAGATTATTAAGACGAGTGGCACACATTTAATCAATACCCACGGTAAAAATGACTGCTTGGTTTCTAAGCAAATGTGGCAATTTCGAAGCAATTTCGAAACCAAAACCAAGCACTTTTATTCGGAAACCAAGGGTCACCCTTTTTCCGTGCTCTTCCCCGTCTCACTAGTCGGCCCGCTCGGTGAACACAAGCTTGAGGGTGTCGACGGGCGTGGGCGTGATGGTGTGCGGGGAGAGCTTGATGGTGCTGGGCGCGTCGGCGGGCAGCGCCACCTCCGCCCGGGTCAGGATCGTCATCAGGGCCATCTTCATCTGGATCAGCGCCATGCGCATGCCTGGAGAAGCAGCCGCGATTGTGTATACTTCAGGTTCCGGTTCATGAGCCAGCAGCACTTTAAAACGCCGTGGTCGCCTAAGCTTGTCAAATATGTTCGCACTCCTTTTTGATTGCCAAATTTTGGCCGTCGCTTTTGCAAACTGCCAAATTTTTGCCTCTATGCTTATTGTGACAATATGGCCAAAAGTTGACTTCCTTTGGATAACAAAGTTTTGGCAAAATAACGGCTAAAAGACAAAGTCAAAATTTGGCAAGACTGCCATAGTTTTGGCAAGCAAGGCGACCATACGGCGTTTAGAGTGAGCAGGAAGGCCGTCAGCGGGCCGACCTTACCTATGCAGATGCGCGGGCCGTCGCCGAACGGCAGGTACACCATGGGGTGCCTGGCCTCCACCTTGTCCTTCGTGAAGCGCTCGGGGTTGAACTCCTCGGGGTGCTCCCAGTGCCTGCGCATATTGTAGAGGAGTGTGGAGGAGTCGACGCGACGTCGGCGACAATGATTCGCGGGGGGCGAGAGGGTCACCGAGGCCGAGGGGTACTTCACTTTTATTTCGAGCTTCGAGGTGCGATTTTTCGGTTCGGTGTGCATGTCTAGATTTTTCTGGACTCTTTTATTTTATTATGATTTTTTAACAGATTTATTCTAAGTTTTTATACTTTTTCTGATTTTTTCAAAAAATTATATTAAATTTTTGAGTGAAGTAGCCCTTTGGGTTACCCGTGTAACTATACTCACTTCGGGTCCATATGCAGCGCGCGCACGGGGATCATGAGGCGGGTGCCCTTGTCGAGGACGAGGTCGGTGAGCGGCAGCGTGCGCTCCCGCATCGCCTCGCGGTTGAGGAAGGGCACGGCGGGATACAGGCGCATTGTCTCTGCGAAAGAGGGCCAAAGTCTAAAATTACTCCCGTGAAAAAGTTGTCTGTAGAAAAAAATATTGGTAAACATTGAGATATTCTCAGAAAAAATGGAGAGAGAAAAAACTTTTTCGGAAAAAAATCAGACTTTTTTTTAAAAAATCTGAAATTTTTTTCCTAGAAAATCCTGCCTTTTTAAGTAAAATTAAAATTCCTAGAACCTCCATGAAACACCCAGAAAACTGAGTTCTTGGATCAAGAACACTGTGCTTGATCATTAATTCATGAATTCAGTCAAGAACATTTGCCTTGATCCATGTCAAAATTGACTTGGAGCAAGGCAAATGTTCTTGACTGAATTAATGATCAAGCACAGTGTTCTTGATCCAAGAACTCAGTTTTCTGTGTGAAGAATGAAATGACGATGTCAAAGTTGTTTGTCGACCACCTAATCATTGTGCTTACCGTTCAGCACCATGTCGGTGTACGGCAGGTTGACCAGGGTGTCGTAGCTGATCTCGCCGCCGTGCCTGTCGAGGGCCTCCCTCATCTCCGCGACCACCTTGTCCTGGACCTCGGGGTGCTTGGCCAGCAGGTACAGGGCGAACGTGTTGGTGGCCGACGTGGTCTCGAAGCCGGCCAAGAAGAAGACGGCGCACTGCGCGCCGATCTCCCTGATGCTGATCCGCTGCTTCTCGACGGGGGCGTCGGCGTCGGCGATGGACTCCTCGCCACCCGCCTCCTCTACGAGAAGTAATAGTGACTCCGTTGAAAAAGATAAAGTTCAAAATAATTGGGAGTTTGGGGAGGTTGCCTCCGACGTGTGTCTACCAACAAAGATGTGTACTCACTCTCGTCGGCGACCTGGCCCGGCGCGTCGGGGGGTACGAAGCCGTCGTTCTTGAGCTTGATGAGCAGTTGGAGCATGTCGGCGCGGTCGACGCCGTGCTTCTCGCGGTACTCAACCAGCTCGGTGACGGTGTTGAGGAAGAATTCGTTGGCCTCTGCGGGGAACAGGGTGGTCGGCAGCATCCTCAGCGCGTTGGGCCACATGAAGGCCAGCATGGCGCGCACGCTCATCTGAAGCGAGAGAGCAGGGTACACTGATGAGACACAGCCTCGAACGTAAAGGCATCGTCCAAAAAAGGAACAGGCCGGTCATAGGCCCCGCATCGACCACGTGCAGTCCCTGCAAACTCTCGAAGCGCCTGGTAGGTATGCAACATCTTGCTCCCAGTGCATGCGTGTACCGCGGGCTGGCCTACCCCCAGTCTCACCGGTTCCGAGCTCACGTAATGACCGGTATCAAGGATTTTAGTTTTACGGGAAAAAAATTGGAACATTTTTCAAGATTTGTTTTCCTTGACTTCTTATTTGTTCTTCTGGAAAGTTTCATTTTGCCCCAAGTTTCCGGAAATGTTCCAATTTTTCTCGATTTTTTTTCTGGAAAAGTTTCCAATTTTTCTCCGATCTTAAACTTTCTTATTCGAATCAATCTGAGTCTGAGTTACAGCGGTCGCTCCCTGAACGCATTCTAGGGCGCAAAATGACGTCGTCGTCCCGAAACTCACGCCGATGGAGGGGTCAAGGATGAGCCCGCTGATGCGGCGGAACTCGGACTTGGGGTTGGCGAGGGTGTTGGTGTCGATGCCGAAGGCCACTGAGGTGATGATGTCGGTCCCGAAGCGCGCCAGCAGCTCCTTGACGTCGATGTGGGTCCGGCCGCCGTCCGCCCGCACCTGGGAGGCGATGTGCTCGCGCAGCTGGTCGCCGCACTTCTTGAACGTCGAGAACATGAGCCTGTGTCGGAGAGAGTAGGAGACAAAGCCAAAACTTCACACACTGGAAGAGAGGGCGCCCAGGCGCCTGTACCTGGATGTACCTCGAGGTACCTGGATGTACCTTGCACCTCGAGGAACCTTACGGTACAATGAGGTACCCTGACCCTGAGTCGCTGGTTCACTGTTCTCTTCCGAAGGCAGAACTTCAAAAAGAAACTTAAAGTTGCACAATAAATGAAATTAATCGTCAAGGGCGTCAAGTGATCTGAAGTGTGAAAGTTTATCGATACGCTTTCTCGCACGAGAGGCTCATGCGAATGTTGTTATAGGCAGGGTCGGGACGGATCTCTCAGATAACAGAGTGTGAAGTCTGCGAGTGATAAGACGCCCGCCGCACGCTTTTGGCAAAACGGGGATGAGGGAATCAGGGGGAAATCAGTTGTCTTGCTCACAGCGACAATAATAATGGCGATAGTGGAATCAATGTAATAATAATAATGAAATGATGATAACGATGGCAATGATGGCAATACAATACAGTACAGTACCTCAGCTTCCCGGTGGTGAAGGTGGGGCTGAGCTTGACGCGGAGGTTCCTCCAGGGCTGGCCGGAGAGCATGAAGAGCTGGCCCGAGATCATGTCCTTGTCCGGCTCGGAGTACATGGCGCGGCCGTTGAAGTCCTGGAACTCCCTCACGAACACCTGTCGGATGATCTCCGGGTCGTGGAGCTGCAGCAGCGGCGTGCCCAGGAAGTGCGTCCCGACGTAGCGCTGGTCCCGGTACCTGTCCAAGCGGCTCATTTGTTTATCGGTGTGAAAATTTGAAACTTTTCCAGAAAAAAAAAATGAAAAAAAAAAATGAAGTGTTTCCAAAAATAATTAAAGAAAGGAAATGTTTCCAAAAAAATTGAAAAAAAATGAAATGTTAAAAAAAAAATGAAAAAAATAAAATGTTTCCAAAAAAAAAATTGAAAACAGGAAACTTTTGAGAGAACAATACAGACTGAATGAAAAACATTCTCCGAAATAGGTCAAGTACTCACTTTTGGTATACGTCAAACATGACGTCGCCCATGCCGGCGCGGCCCAGGATGGCGTCGGCGTAGTTGCCGAAGGGCGCGGTGCACTCGGGCGCGGTCACGCCGCGTCGCTTCCAGTAGGCGTAGCGCGCCCGGAGTGCGGCGTACGCCAGCCCGAGGGCCAGCGCGGCCAGGGCGAACAGCAGCAGCAGCATGTCGTCGTCGTCGTTGTCAGTGATGTCGCACCGGGACGGGAGCAGCGCGGCCGGCTACTACTTATAAAGGGCGGCGATGGACTGTTGCGGACGGCCTCTAGGCCAGGCCGACACACACCGTCAAGGTCGCCGCGCGAGCTGATGCGATGCGACGCCATAAGGCGCGACGGAGCGGCACGCCGCCCGGGCTGGGGCCTGTGTGCGAGGCTAGAGACCGCGTGGGCGAGAGAGAGAGAGAGAGAGAGAAAGAGAGAGAGAGAGAGAGAGAGAGAGAGAGAGAGA